GAAACCCCAGAGCAGAGCTGGTGACAAGACACCAGGGTGTGGACCATCCCACGGCCCTTTGTCCTGCATGGCTGCACCCGAGGCCAGCACAGGCCTGCTCTGAAGTCCTGTTCACGTGCTCAAGTGACCTCAGCCCCCCCCAATCCTGAGAGAGGGCAGGAGGGGAGCCCAGTGCGGCCTCCTCCCCGCTCCACCTTTGGACCCTGAGCACCCCAGGCCAAGCCCATCTAGCTCCCTCTGGTCCTGGATCACAAGCCAGAGACGGAAGCAAGGACAGTCCAGCCGTGGGCACCCTTCCCTCCATCAGGGCAGCTGTGGTTCTCTTGAGGCTCTGAGGTGAAGGAGGCAGGAGGTCGGGGGAGGTTCAGGGCACAGAGGATGGTCTGACTCAGAACCGTGGGACGGTGAGGCCGTCACAGACGAGGCCCAGGGGCCAGGCATCTGCAGGCTCCCACGGCTCAGTCCACTTTGCTTTTCTAGTTTCAGTCTCAAACCTGCCTCTTCCAAGCAGCCTTCCTTGCTTACTTCCTTGATCCATAATAAACATTTGTTTCCTTGGCAAATGGGGGCATTTGGTGCCATATCTGAGGTGAATGTCCCCTGACGGTAAGGACCCCTTTACTTGTTTGCCCCCTACCCTCTTGCTTGCCCATGACCACTGATAATGGAAATAATGATGCCATTTCTTAAAATGCCATTTATACAACACCGTGCTAAGCGCTTTGCAGTCAGTGACCTCATTTAATCTTGGCAACACCCACGCGGGGTGGGCACTGCTACAGAGGAGGAAGCTGAGGCCAGGGAGCCGGGAGGGGGCAGGGAGCTCACCCGAGGTCACGGAGGGAGAGCTGTTTCCTCGCCTCTACACCTGACCTCCCAGCCCAGCCTCCTGCTTCCTCTTTTTGCCTGTTTTACTTTCCCAAGACCAGTCTAGCCAGCCTCTGACTCAGTTTACCCCAAGGGCCGGAGTGGGGCAGTGGGCGAAGCTGCTGTCCTGGATCAAAGGTGAAGAAATGCGGTGCGGACATGGGACGATACGGGCCTCAGGGCCCCGCGCCGGCGGCGGGGGGGGGGGTCCCCGGTGGCACGTGCCCAGCGTGGCCGCTAAGCAGCGGACCGGCTGCCCGGCCAGCTGGGTTACGCCCCGGGCCTTCCGCCGACTCTGCAGAATCGGTCTTGCCCACATACCTGGCGCTCCTCCCTGCAGCTCCCGATTGCTTTCCTGTGGGTCCTGGGCCAAGCCCCTGCGGCCGAGCCCAGGGCGGCCGGCTTCCCCTAACTACAATTGCAGCCCCGCCGGCGGCCCCCACGAGGGAGGTGGGGAGCTGTAAAGCCTTTTTAAAAGGGGCAATAAAAGTTTTGGGTTTCAGATGGTCTTACTGAAGAAGAGACTAACAGAGACAGGAAATGTCGGTAGCAGACAAAGGCCACAGCGCGCAGACTGCTCTCCGACGGAAGCACCTCCTTCTGAGGACACAGGGTGCTGGCTCCCCCGGCCGCGCGGCCCTCGCCCGGCTCCCAGCTCTGGGGGGGACGGAGGGGCCCCTGCAATACTCTGTTTTCTCTGCGTGGTTCTAAGTGTTCATACTTCTCCGTTTGCCCCGGAGGGGGTGTGCGGGGACCCCTGCAGCTGAGCCCCGTGCACCCGTGCGAGCACGTGTGTGTGCGTGCACGCGTGCACATGTGTGTGCCCGGGAGGCGGCGCGGGCCTGGGCCCGGGCACACATGTGCTCCAGTGGGGCATCGGCTGTGTCTGCTCCATGCGCTGCAGGGTCTGGAGGCCAGGGCTGGCCCGGGGGACGCCTGTGCCCACCGCAGCCCCCAGGTTCAGGGGGGGTCCAGCAGGGGGACGACGCCCTCCTGCTCACGCGTCCTGCACGCCACAGCCCCTCTGCCCATGTCACCTGGTGTCACCCCCAAGCCCGCACGTCCAGGGAGCTGCCCCACTCCTTTTGTGTCCAGGGGATGTGCTGTCCTGAGCGGTAGCTGCCAGCCGTAGCCACAGGGAGAGGGTTGCTCCGTAAAATACAGGGCACCGTGTCAAATTTGAACTTCAGGTCAACCGTGAATCCTGTTTTAGCGTCAGTATGTCTCATGTAAACATGTCCTGAATATCGCGTGAGATACACAGGGGAGATCATTATTTTTTATCTGAAATTCATGTGTAACCAGGTGTCCTGAAACCCTGCATCCCTACACATGTGGCTATTTAAATTTAAATTAATTAAAATGAACTGATATTTTGCTCCTCCGTAGCCCGAGCTGTATTCAGATGCTATGCAGTGGCGTGCAGCGAGCGGCGGGCCAGCCGGATGGCCCCAAGCATCTCTCCGTCACTAAGGCAAGTCCTGCTGCCCTGGCCACTCCCGGCCTGTCGCTAACATCTAGGACTCCACATCCGGGCACAGGCTGGAGGCAAGCTCAGGGCTCCTGGTTTCCGAATCCCTCATCAGGGCTGGGTGGGAGGTGAGTCCTGTCCAGAGCCCACGGGGGTCCGGGAGGGCCTCGGAGGTCCTTGCTGGCCCCAGGTGCCATGACTGTCAGATTCTAGGGCATGAAGACCCCGGGCTCGACAGCACTGGGGTTCCCAGGTGTTCGGTCTGAAGGCCATGACCCTTCTTCCTTGTTAGTCTTGCGGTAGAGGGGTGGCCGGCCATTCCGGGTGGCCTCCTCCCTTTCTGTCCCCCTCCCGGGCACTCATGCCCTGGCCCCTGGCTAGAGTCACCGAGATGTCAAAGTGAGCTTTTGAGCCGGAGGAAGATGCCACTAGGATGAGGACTAAGACGCTGGGGACAGCCACCTCAGTGGCCAGTGTCCAAAGGCCTGGGGCCAGCCACCGACATCCTGGCCCTCAGTGTCCTCATCGGCACAGTGGGGTCTCCGTGGTGCCGAGCCTGCTTGGAGTGGCACAGCGGGCCTAGAGCCCGAGAGGCGGACGGGGCTGAGGGCTGGAGCGCGCCTCCTAATTGTCCATGACTTACAGACTTGGCCGGGCTCCCAGACAGCCTCATAAATCAGCGCGGCCACAGTGAGTAGCCTGTTAGTGCGGCCCTTATGCGCTTGGCAGGCCCCCACCTCCTCCCTGCTCGGGAGCATCCCGCTGCCTCCAATTTTCCATGTGCTGCTGCAGACCTGGGAGCTGGGGTGTGCTCGCGGGGCATGGGGGCCAGGGGGGTGGGAGGGAGGTGCTGGGGTGGAGGCGGAGGGCTGGGGAGAGAGGCGACTGGCAGAGGCCAGCCGCTTTGTGGATGCTGTTTCCCGAGTGGTGCCCCCAGGCCCCCGGCGTGGCCCGCAGTGCCCTCCCTTCCCCTACGGCCGGGTGTGTCCCCTTGCGGAGATGGGAGACGGGCGGATGAGAAGATGCGGTTTGCAGGGCACGCACATGTGGTGTGCACGTGTGTCTACAGTGCATGTGAGCGTGCACTCACCCCTCAACCAGACGAGAAGCCACTGGAAGCAGCATCTGCCCCTCGCTGTGCTGGGGAGGGCGGGGACGCGTCTGTCTGGGTAGATGGCCCCGAAGCTGTGGCGTCTCAGCTGGCTCATCTGGGAAGCAGAGCCATGATGCACCCCTGCTCCCCAGGGCCTGGCCAGGACTCTGAGAGCCAGTGTGAAGAGCCGAGCGGCTGCTCTGTCGTCACCGGCCTATAGGGACAGAAAGGGGCTGAGCCGGCGTGAGGCTGTGGGCGTCCAGGCCCCCGTGCGTGGGACCTCTGGACCGTCAGGGAGGCCGACAGATGGGGGGCCGGGCTGAGGGGTCAGCCTCGTCCCCGGTTCTCTCCTGGCCCCCTGAGGTGAGCAAGAGGTGATTTTAGGACAAATAATGGGCTGCCCTATGCAGTGGGAGTGGGTGTGCACCTTCTGGAAATACAAACAGGCCCCAGACAGGTGTAGGTAACTTCCTGCCTGACAGATGTGCCCACATCATTCGGGAAGCAGGGCTGCTGGGGAGGCTCAGGTTTGTGAGGTGATGTCTGGGAGGCCTGCTCCCGCCACCCCCGGGGCCCAGTGCAGACAGGCTCTGGGCCCAAGCTCACTGACCTCCCAGTGCACTGTGGCAAGCCGGCCCCGGGTGCCCAGCTGTGGGCCTGCTGGCCTCTGCTCAGGTTTCCCTGCACCCAGACCCCCTTCCCACACTGGCTCTTAGCCCGGTCGGAGCGCTCGGAGTGCTCAGAAGACCAACACAGGTGCTCATGCCTGGCCCATGGGGTGGCTCCGGAGCCGGGGGGCGGGCATGGCTCGGACCGGCGGAGTGGGGTTGGGGCCCGGCTCTGCCCTCACTGGCTCGGGGCCCCAAACACACCATTTCCCCTGAGCCTCAGGCTTCTGTCTTTAGAACGGAATGATCATACTTTACTGCAGACTTGTTTTAAGAATTAGATCAAGGGCTGAGTATACAGCTTTTGGCACCCAGTAAGGCCAAGACATTGAGGAGCTTTATAGGGGTTGCCGTTCCTGAACCGGCTTGATTCAGGGACCCGGCTGGGGGGTTGGCCACGCAGGCCTGGGCCAGGGACAGAGCTGGCCCCCTGCTGGCCTGGGCTTCCTGACCGGGTGCGCTCAGATCCTGAGGGTGACGCTAGTTTCCAAGGGAAAACAGATGCTGTGAGGAGAGCGCGTGGGCAGAACGCCTCTGCGGCTGGAGCTGGGCCAGAACTTCTGGGTGAGGAGGGAAGGGGAGATGGGGGGACACCCCCTGGCTGCGGGCTTCTGCAGACTCACCTATGGGCCATGACTGTGGAGGAGGAGGAGGAGGAGGAGGGAGGAAGGTCTTTTCTTTCGAGCATGATGTTTGGCCACGGTGGGAACCGCAGTAACTGGGCTTTCAAGAAGCACTCAGCAAGGTGCTCCCCAAATCCCCGGGGACCTCTCAGGCTCAGAGGAGAGATGTTTCCCCTGGGCGCGCCAGGGTGGGGCAGGACAGGAGGCCTCTCTCCAGGCGTGAGACGGGGGAGGGCAGGGGCTTGCGGGGGGCGGGGGGCAGGGGTGGGGTTGCAAAGTCAGATGCAAGCACAGCAAAGGGTAGAGCAGTCCAGCTTGGCCGGGGGCCCTGCGCTTCCAGCCTTCTTGTTGACCTTGGGTAGCAGGAGGATGAAGGACATGGCCAGGGCACAGTGGTAGAAACTGTGGACATAGGTGTAATCCCAATCCTGCAGGGGCAGGGGAGGGTGGGAGGGGGATGGGTCTGTGGCCTCAGGCGCCCCTCCCCCACTCTCCACGCCTCCTGCATGCCTGGCATGCCAGGGCACCTGCCAGTCACACACGCCCCACCCTCCGGAATCTGGCCAAGTGCCCTCCTCCAAGGGGCCTCTCCTCAGCATCCAGCCCATGGGCAGTCTTTCCTGACCTCAGACCCCTGGAGCACTGAAGGTGGAAAGTGGACACTGGGCCTTTGACAATGAGGCTGGGGCTCCTCCCTCCCTCCTCCCTCCTTCCTGCAGTGCAGGCTCCAGCCCCAGGCCCCATCTGGGCTGTGCACCTCATCTCAGATCCACGCAGACAGTGAGAGCCCTGGCTGGGGATGGACGGTGCAGGGTGGGAGCAAGGCACCCCTCCACCCACCGGGAGGGACAGAGGAGGCAGGAATGTGATGCTGAAGCCGCCCCGAGGCGCCCCAGTCCCCGTACCTCGAAGAAGAAGCGCAGCATAAGGGCCAGTGCCCCAAAACAGAGGCCGGGCCCTATCTGCTGGGTGTAGACACTCTTGTCGGGGTACAGACCTTTCTTCTCCTTCATCTGTTGCAGCTGTGGGGAGAGTGGTCACGCAGAGAGGTCACAGGGCGGGGATGCTGCTCAGAGCTGACCGGAGAGCAGGCCCCGGGCACGCACGGGCCCCTTGGCTATCCTTGGGCGGGAGATGGGGCTCAGGGAGATGCCCCACGTGCCCCGTCCCGTGGTGGGAGGACCCAAGGGAGCCCCAGGCTGGATGGCTCGTCTGGGAACCCCCTGGGCCAGTTTGCCCTGTGAAGAACCCCAGCCCCTGCCTGCCTCTTTGGGGCCTAACAAGGCCACCCCTGCACATGGGCCCCTCCCAGCCAGAGGGGCCCCCAGGGGACGAGTCACAGCAAGGGGGTGTTGGAGTGCTGGCCCCTCCCACCATACGGCCCGCGGGGCGCCTGTGGGGTGGTCCAAGTGACCCTTCAATGGCTCGTAGATCATTATCCATCGTAGTGCTTCTGAGACAAGCTGACCAGCACGTGAAACTCTGGTTGCTCAGGTGCTCACGTTAGTGGGGGGGGCTTGAGCAGGCATTGACGCTTGAAAAGATGGGTTCACGTACACTGAGAATGTGCAGTAAGTGAGGGACCACATCCTGCAACCTCGAATCCCTGGGGCCAGGGTGTTTCAGAGTGCAGGGTGTTTGGGATCTCAGCACGATAACCGCCTGGGCACACAGCGGATCATGGAAGCCCCCAACCACACCGCCCCCAGGGCCCTGTGCCGGCAGGGGCAGGCTAGGCCACCAGAGTCTGGGGTGCGGGTTTCTGGAATTTGCCATTGCCGATAAGACATCAGGCCCTGCACGCGCACAGGCAGCGTGTGGGTGCGGCTGGGGGCGCCTGGGTGCTGGTGGCCAGGCCGTGCGTCTGCCCAGGGTCGGGTCCTAGCCTGGCCCGGCCCTGCCCTGCAGCCCCCACACCCACCTCTCTCTGCTTCCTCTCCCCGAGGGCTGCTGTCCCCAGCTCGGGCTCAAGCAGGGACGAGCCTCCAAGAGAAAAATCCACCCTCATTCCAGGGAACAACTGCCCTGGAAAATCCAAAATAAACTCCACGTTAAGTGGTCTGAAAAACACAATTTGAGCCCCAGATGTAGGGAGCCAGGCAGACCTCTTGGTTCCTGTGTCCGGATCCACAGCCCGAGGGCCGTGGAAGTCACCGTAGCGCTTCCCAGGGAAACCAGCGAGTGGCTTCCACTCTGGCTCATTACGTTCCAGCGCAGATCCAGACCTGCCAAGATCTGCAGGAGGAATGGCCCTCCAGGGCAGACCAAGCAGCCTATCCTACTTCCTGCTGGGGAGTGAGTGCATTATCGAGACCCAGGGCTCTGTGTTTATGCATTCCAACATGTCCCTTAACGGGGTCCTTCCCTGGGTCCAGACGCAGCAGACCCAGTGTGCCTCCCCTGCTCTCACAGGCAGCTCCGAGGGGCCTCCTGGGTCAGCCTTCCCCCTCGGGGAAGCTGGAGTGAGAAAGAGGCTCCTTCTCTTCTCTTGGAAAGTCAAGGCCTGACCTCGCCTGGTGCTGTGTGACTTGTTGATTGCTGACCTCTCTGAGCCCTACTTCCTTCACTAACCGAATGGCAGAACAAATCCTCTACTCCCTGGCTGTAGGAGGAGCAGGGCTTTCTTTTCCTTCCTGCAGCTGTAAAATGGGTTGATGGACACCTTCTGCACCACTTGCCCAGCCTGACCCCTATTCCCAGAGAACTGCCCTCCTGCTCCCCAGGTGGCCCAGCAGCAACTCCCCGCCCCCATCCCCTGAGGCCCTGCCATCTGGGCCTTAATTTGGGGGCCTTGAGTGGGTGTGTGACTTGGGCTGGGCCGGACCAGCCCTCCTGCCAGCACTTGGAGTTGGGACGCCCTGAGATTTCAGGTGGAACTCCAAAGGAGTGAAAATGTGCCAGAGGGATGTCACCTTGGGGCCTGGGCTGCTGCACGGCTGGAGGGTGGGCCCAGCCTCAGGCCTGCCAGCAGGCCAGGCCTGTATGCTGCTCCCTGCAAGGTTCAGCTCCTTCCCTTCTGGGGTCCCAGGAAGTGCCCTTGGGTCCATCTTGCTCTAGCATCCCTTATTAGCTTGGGAAGCATGAGCGGCTTTCAGCCCTTGCAGCCAGGAGGGCCTTGGCACAACAGAGGATGCAGGGAGGCCTGGGGACCAGGTGTCAGGGTCAACTTCCTGTCCACCACACACCACAGCCTCCCTCCTCACTAGAACCAAACTCAAGGCTCACTGGCTCCATGAAGTCTTCCCAGATTAACCCAGGCCATTTCCAATTGCTTTTGCACCTCTAAAGCTGTCATTCTCTGCAAAGAATAATGATAGTAGTAATAGCTCCTATGTGTTGAGCACATTAGAAGCCAGGTTCTATGCCAGCATTTTAGATGCATTAACTCAATTAATCTTTGAACCAACCCTATGAGGTAGGTCCTGGACTGTTCCCGTAACAACCACTTTTCAGATGTGGAAACTGAGGCAGAGAAGTGGAGTCACTTGGGTTAGGTCCAGATGATACAGACGGTGTCTGTATAGTGGGGGCACCTGATGCGCACTGTCTCTGTGTTTTAGCTGAAGCCCTGAGATGGGAGGTAAATGGAGACGCCAAGGTGGAGGGGTCACAGGGGACAGGTGCGCCCGTCCGCTGAGGCTCGCACAAGTACGCACCCACTTTGTGGCAATGATGAGGACGGCCGTGCCGATGGGGCCCGAGTACACCCCATAGCCCCAGCGGTCGTGGTAGATCCGCACCGCGATGGTCAGGACGCCAAACATCACAAAGGTCGACCTCTTGGGTTCGTCGAAGTCGGCCAGCGCTGGAGGTGGGGGAGAGGAACCGGGAGAGGTGAGCGGCCTCTCTGCCCCTCCCGGCCACTGCTCCTCCAGAGGCATCCCTTAGGGGCCCCGGTGCGGGGTGCCCCCAGCCAGCGAGACCCCATGGCCCAGCCCGGCCACCCCGAGGTCTGAGTTCCAGCTGGTTGTAAGGGACAGACGTGGACAGAGCAGCCTGGGCTGCGCTTGTGGGAAGCTGCTTTCATGAGCAGGTCAACGCATACTTGTCCCCGAGGACCCCAGGGATGAAGACAAAGACACACAAGTAAGAGACAGGAAAGATCTGGGTCCTTCATGGGGCCTGGGCAAATGGCAGGGAGCCCATGCGATGGGGCCCACGCGTCCTGACATTGCCGCCAGACGGCATTAAATGAGAAAAAAGGTGCAGAAACAATGCACTTTTGAGTGATTCCATCCTCGCAAAAAGCTGAGCTGACAGTGATGTGCGTGGATGCTTGTATGAGCCTCAAGAAAGTCTTGGGGGCAAACCCTGACATGCGAGCCGTGGTCTCCCAGGGGAGAGAGCTGGAAGCCCTTCCACGGGTTCCACGGCATGGCTCTACCATGTAAAGTGGTCTGAATGAGCCTTCGTTCATGTGTGAATTGAACAGGATGTGAGGATGGGACTTAGGGCATTTAAGGACTGTGCGTTCTTTTTCATTGATTAAACCAGGCTTTGAACCCCAGGAGAGGGGAGGAGACGCTCCCGATGAGGGGTGCGGAGCAGAGTCAGTGGGCTCTGCTGTTTCTGGGAGCAGGCAGGAGGATGGCGGGGACACTGGGCGACAAGGCGTGGCCACTCACCCATCAGCGAGACCCACATGCTCAGCGCTGTCCCGTAGACACTGAAATACTCCAGGACGTCGTGACGCATGAAGCAGAGCACCGACAGGCCGGGCCCGGTGCAGGCGTGGTAGAGCTGCCGGAAAACCCACAGGGGTCAGGGCCTAGAGAGGACGGCTCGGGAGCCCCAGGACCACGGCTGGGTCCCAGCCATGCCCCCCCGCCAGCCAGGCCACTCACTAGCCGCGAGGCTCAGGCAAGTCAGTTTGTGCCTCAGTTTCCCCACCTGAAAAAAAAAGGGGAGCCAAGTGCTCCCCTCATGGGGTCTTGTGGAGGTTAGACAAAACAATCCACATGAGAGGCTGGGAGCCTGGGGATGTGCTCAGGGCTCGTTCGTGTCTCTTATGTTCTATGTATGACATGACCAGACAGGCTGGGCATTGGGCAGGTGAAGCCCGCCAAGGTGGGGACCCCAAAGATGTGCCCTGCACGTTCCTTTAACACCTGGGTTTACCGACAGCAAGTACGTATGTGTTCCTTCAGCGCCTCTGGGCGTGAGGCCATGGCCTATTTTTGGGTGCCTGTCGGCCCGGCTTTCTCCTCTACCGTTCCCCCCTGTGGTGACTGGGCTACCCCACTGGGGAAGTCCTCAGATGTGAGTGGGCACCAGGACCCTGGCGGGGGGCAGGTGGTATTATGAAGACTTGGGTTGCTAACTCAGCAGGTCTGGGGTGGGGTCAGAGATCTGCACTGTTAAGAGTTTCTCAGGCTGATGCCAGCCACCCGTGGGGAATACACTTTGAGAACCTCCGGCTGTAGTTTTCAGCTTCGGTTTCTTTAAAGTTCTGGGAGACTGCGGAGACCACCGTGCTGAACACGGCATGGTAGGTTCGCCCATCTCTCTCCTCTAGTCTCCCCAACACCTAGTTTAATAGCAATTAAAAAAATATTTTATTTATTTATTTATTAGAGAGAGAGAGAGAGCATGAGTAGGGGGAGAAGGAGAGGGAGAAGCAGACTCCCCACTGAGCAGGGAGCCCGATGTGGGACTCAATCCTGGAACCCTGGGATCATGACCTGAGCCGAAGGCAGATGCTTCACCAACTGAGCCACCCGGGTGCGCTTTAATAGCAATTTCTAAAGCAAAATGCCTCTGTGGAGTATTCTCAAAGCAGTCAGCTGATTTCTTACAGAAAACAACTCTCTCCTTTTGTATACACATTTCATCACTTTAAGTAATATTTAATTACGTGACGTAATTATTTTGACAAGTTCCACGGACATAAACGAGCTTGGGAACCAGCACAATCGACTCTTGGTGAGCCCAGCTCAGCAGGAGGGAGGAGGCGCCCAGGAGAGCAGCCCAAGTCTGGAGGCCCAGGGATGTTACAGGGGGAGCAGCAGCCCTGGGTCACCAGTGAGTTGAGTAAGTTGGGGTCGATTTAGAGCTCTATTGGTTATAATCACAGGTGACCTAAAGTTATGGTGCACCTAGGAGGCATGAATAGAGGTATAGTATCCAGAACAAGGGAGGTGACAGTCCTGCTTCTCTCTGTTCTGGTCAGACCCACCTAGAGAATTGTGTTGAACTTTGGCTGCTGCACCCTTTAGAGTGACATAGGCAAAGGCGATGGAGGAGAGCAATTAGGTTGTGGACATGACAGTTTAGCTGGGGCAAGAGAAGCTTCAGGTAGGGCCTGATCAAGGTGCTCAGATCTCTGTGGGATAGAGCAGGGAGAAGGACACTTGCTGCGCGTGGCTCTGGCAGGCAGAGCTAGGCCCTGTGAGTGACGTGGATATTCTCCCACTACTTCTAGAACTACATCCCTCCCCCGATCATCTGCTGCTTCTGCACCCATGCTTCTCCTTTGTAGCACAGGTCACCACGTATAATCACAGACTTAATCACTATGAGATTCTCGGGAGTGTCCACCCCAGTCCCATGAAGAGCAGGAATACTCTGTCTCAGCCTGGCTGTGCGGATGCAGGGCCAGGGAGACAGGGTTTGGAGTGGTTTGAAGGAGAGCTGACCCAGGAGCGTCTCTCCCACCAGGCCCTTGGTTCATCTCTGTTGGACAGGTGGGGAAGGGGAGAATCAGAGCAGCGCTACCTGCCAAGGAGGCAGGGCAGAGCAGTGACTGTGAGGCCTGCCTCCCTCTTCCGATGCAGGGGCGGACTTGGCCCCCGAGGGTGCTGGCGGGGGTGGAGTGCCGCTAGGGGTCTGGTGGGAGACAGCACAGCCTCCTGATCCTCGCTTTGTGAGCTCAGGTGAGTGGCCGGCAGCTTGGGGCCTCCTCTGTCAAACAGGGGCGAGAATACCGGCTCTGCGGGGCGGGCCAGGGGACTCCCCGTGACAGAGTACAGGGCTCAGTGTTGGGCACAGAAATAGCGACTGTCACAGGAGGGTTCTGGTCCACAGAAGAAGCCACATGGGAGCTAGAGGTGCAATGGTGTCGCTTGGGGCTCTGGGAGAAAGGGGCTGAGTGTGGCTTTGAGGTCGGAGGACATCTGTCACAGGAGGCAGCTGCTTCTGCCACTCTGGGCGGGCTAGGGTGGGACAGGGTGGGCCTCTGAGGTCAGCCTGGAGGCAGCTGGGGGCCAGCTCAGCCCCAGCAGGGAGGGGTGGCCTGGCGGTGTTTGTGGGTTTCGGGGGCTGGGTCTAACTAACATGGACCTGGGGACAAGACCCCTGGCTCCTCTCCCCAGAGCTAAGCCCCTTGTGCCCGCAGAGAAGTCCCGGGTCCACTCCGTGCCTGGGTTTCTCATCTGTCAAACTGACTTCCTGGAACTCACCCAAGTAGGGGTCCCTTGCGGAGCTAACGAAATGGCATTGGGCAAGATGCCCTGAATGAGCCGAGAGCCCCAGGGTGCATCTGGTGCTTACAGTGACATGTGACTCAGCCGCTGTGGGACTCAGTTTCTTCATCTGTCAAATGGGCCGGTCACAATCTCGGGTTCACGGGGAGCTGAGAAGACTACATGAGACAGTGTGTCCAGAGCACCAGCACGCCCCACAGCCTGGACGCTGGCTCGCAGCCAGCACCGCCGTGGCCAAGGTCTCTCCCACCCCGGCATGGAGACTGAAGCCCCAGGCAACCCCCAGCCCCAGGTCCCTGCTGCCTAAGGGAGCGCCAGCCCGTGTGAACACCCAGCTTCTCCCCTTGCAGGTAAGTGTGGGTTCGGCTCACGAGGACGTCGGCGTGACAGGTGCGCACACGTCTGCAAACACGTGCGTGTGCTCACAGACCTCGCTGCCCAGGGCTGCCCTAAGGACCCGGACACTCACCCACAGGAGGCCTGCTGCTGAGGAGCGAGCCCAGCCAGCGGCAGGAGGCATGCAAGCTTTCACATGTCTGGCACCGCCACAAGGAGGAGACTGGGGGACCCTCGCCTCCCCGGTGCCTGCTTCTCGCGGGAAGCTGGGCTTCAGAGAAGGGTGAGTCTGACGGGAGTTGATGGGGCGGACCGTCAGAGTGAGGGAGGGAGTCCAGCTGTGAGCGTGGGGGCCTCAGAGGGACGCAGGTGGGCACTGAGCCACAGATTGGTGATGGGTGGAGGGATGGGTCATCGATTAGGTAGGTAGAGTGATGATTGATTAGATAGAGAGGTACATAGGTAGGAGGGTAGGCAGACGGGCAGACGGACAGACAGACAAAAGCTTTCGGATGGGAGATGGAGCCACGGAGACCCGTGGAGGGCCAAGGGAACAAAGCCAGACAGGGAAAGACCAGGAGGTTTGGGACGAGAGCAAGTTCTGTGGAGACAGAGCTCCAGAAATCAAGAGAGACCCAGACACAGACAGAATAAAAGCGAAAAAGGCAGATGCAGAGAAAACCAAGAGGAGAAATGCAGAGGGAGAGAGCTCAGCTGGGAGGGAGGGGGAGAGAGAGACAGTCATCCAGGCATATACATGGAGAAAGAAGGACTCAGAGAGAGACGTAGGCCTCAAGAAGGAGAGACAAGCAGACGTGAGCAGGCCCTCCTGAACTGGGGCCAGCTCCGGAATTCTGGAATCAGACTCACCCAGGCCCTATGCATTCCCTAAGCCCCGCTAACCCCTCCCGGACCTAGCTCAGCCCCTTCCTCCCTGCTCTGCTGCCCTGTGCTTGTAGCTGGGAGAGTGGCAGGGGTGGGGGGCAGCCTGGGGTGTTCTGCCGGCAGCAAGACGAGGGGCACCCCGGAAGCTTCGAAGGGCTTGTCCTGGACTGACTGACGTTGGCCCGTTGTGAGCTCGGTCTTGCGCACACCAATCCTGGCACAGATGGGGAGACTGAGGTCCAGAGAGGAGGAGGGCTCCCCCAACCCTCTCTTCCAGTCTCCAGGCTCTTTCTTTCACCTCCAAATCACTTTTCTTCCTCACCAATACAGGAAGGTGGTGGATAGATGGCCCTTCTCCTGCGCCCTTGGGAGGGTTCCCCAGACTTACCGCCACAAAGAACATGGTAAAGAGGTAGACCATGGCCTCCATGTGGAACCTCCGCTTGGCAGCAATGCTGATAGTGGGGAGGAAGGCCAGGCTGCTGAGGGTGGGCAGAAGCAGTTTCGCTGCGAGCGTCCCCATGGGCCGGGGAGTAGGGGAGGGCGCAGGCCTCCTGGGTCCCCAGGGCAGAGAAAACCAAAGGGACAAGGCCTGCTCCCTTTAGTGGGGGCTCGGATGGCAGCTGTGGTTTGAACACCAGGAAGGGAGGCAGGGAAAGGAGTGCATATGTTGAGAGCACATGGATAGGGTCCAACAGCTGATGTGCCATGTGATCAACACTTGTCTCTGATTTTTTTTTTTTTTTTTTGAGAGACCAGAGTAGTTGATTCAAGGAGACCATACTTTTTTTCTTTGAGGCAACAGCCTTGGAGTAAAGTCCCCATGAGTAGAATCCTCAGCTTCCAGCCTCTTTCCGTCTGGGCCCTCTCCCCAAGGCCCTAGGGAGCCCAGAATGAGTGCACCGTGGTCTCTGTGGCTTGAGTCACGTGTCCGCTGGTGTTAGAGGTGAGAGAACCCCAGGTTTAGTCAATTCTAATCACTAAAGAACCTTGCAGACAGGCGTCATATTTTACCAGCCCACATCACGTCCCACTCGCTTGCTCTTTCCCCACCTTGGTTTTCTTGGCAACTGGACTAATGAAACAGTCTTTTCATACTTGGTTACATTGTCTCACATCTGTAGTAAACAGCAGGATGATCTCTAACGTGCTCCCGGTAGGAGGCTGAAGCTTGCATCTCAACATCCCTCCGCTGGCCTTTGGGAAACCACCTTCCCTTGTTGTAAGAGGTTTTAGGGGCACTCTCTGGCAGGGTCCCCCCTTATTCTCTGGCCCAGGAATGATGGGAGTGAGCTACCCAGGCAGACTCTCCCCAGCCTGATGTGTTGTCAGCCGAAGGACAATCTTTACTTCTGTTCTCTTTTTTCATTCTGATACAATTCGCATAAGACAAAATGCACGGATCTGAAGTACAGTTGGGTGAGTTTTGACAAGCACATACAGCTGTGTGACCACTGCGTCTCCCCATCACCCCAGGGTGACCCCTCAGGCCCTTTGCCAGCGTAAGCAGGCGCTGTTGTGGTTTCTGCCGCATGCCTGACTTGGCCTGTTCTAGAATTCTGTACAAATGGGACCATGCAGTGCGCATTCTTTGGGGTCTGACCTCTTTTGCTCCACTGACAGAACGTCCCTGAGATACGCCCACTTCGTGACAGGTGGTTTCTTTTGTTGCTGGGTGAGTAGTATTCTACTGTGTGGATGTGCCACGCTTCTGTTCTCCTGGGAGCTGGACTGCGGAGTGTGATCACCCAGGGACAGCAGGAGTGCGAGTAGCTGGATCCCGTTTCTACTGTTTGCAACAATGCATTCGGTCATGCCATTTTTCTGCTTCGGTGCCTTCCAAGGCACCTGCCGTCCTTGGGGTAGAGTCCAAGGGTCAAGGAGACCACCAGGCCATCCATGGCCCGGCCCTGTCGCCCCACCACACAGCCGGCTCTCCACCATCCTCTCAGACCCCGTCTCTCCTCCTACCCCCGGACCCCCACCTCCCCTGCAAGAACGTATTTCCTCCTCCTCCTCTTTCTGGTCACTGGATCAACAGCACCATCTGTGGGCCAGGCTGCCCCCTGGCCTGGCACCCAGGCAAGCCACCGTGCCCCTGTGCCGGACCCAAGCCTGGCACATGGTAGGTGTTTGACAAACACTGGCTGAATGAATGACTTTGTTCAAAGAATGAATGAAAGTCCAAGGAGGCCAGGCTGCTGCACATTTCAGTCTGGCCCTTAGGAGTCCCTTTCCCTTTCCAAATGGGAAAACCAGATCCTGCTATGTGTGCAGGTCCGGGCAGGGCAGGAGGCGGCGACCCCACGTGGGTTGTCACAGAGGCCTGCTCTCCCTGCCCACCTCTGCATCCCTCCGCTCCTGCCCTCACCCAGCCCCCAGCCCCCGCTCCCAGGAGGAATATAAACCCTGTGGTGTGGAAATGCGAGTAGATGTCAGGTGCTCAGAGAACCCGTTGGAGCTGTAAACCCTGCTCAGAAGCAGGAAAACATTCCACAGTTGGTTTTGTGCATGAGTGTGTGTGTGTTTTCTTCGCAGCTGTAAACTCCAGGGCCAGGGCTGTAAGCTTGGGGAAGGGAAAAAGAGAAGGGGGAGGTATTGGAGGAAGGCAGGGGTGCGGTTGGCTGTACATGTGTTGCAGTGATCAAGGCAGAAGGGGCCGAGGGGGGCTGCCCCAACGTGGGGAGACAGGTGACCAGGCCTGGGGCAGCCCAGGGAGTCCCTGCAGACCGGCCGGAAGTCCAAGTCCAGCGTGGAGCTGGGGGCGGCCCACGTGTGGCTCCCCTCTGAGACCTGGCCACCTGGAGACCGACCAGCTGGCTCAGGGGGTGGCGTCCAGCTCTGAACAGGACTGAGATGACCCTCGGCTCTCCCTGCAGCCTGGAAAGCCACAGGCCTGGGGGCTGGGAGAGGGGGACGCAGAGTGGGAGACACAGGCCGGCCGCTTCGAGGGTGGTGGTGCCCTTGGAGAAGTGGGGGGGGGGCTAGGATGGGGCGGGGCTGGGAGCCCACTCCACCTGGGCAGGCTCAACTGGGGGCCTGAGCAACCGATGTGCAGCCTGTCCCCATCCTCCCCGCCCTCCTGTGGCCCCGCCTGCCGGCCTGCTGTGGACACCCCCGCCCTGCCACCTGCTCATGTTCCGACTGCGCCAGAGCCCACAGGCCGCTCCCCCTCCTTCTGCCTGGACTCTCACCGCTTGGGCCTTCCCCATTCACACTGTAGCCCTTAGCCTCTCCTGACCCCCACCGGGGTGAGGTGTCTCCCTTCTAACCCCCACGACACTGTGTGTGTCTTGAAAACCACTCACACACACAGACATTGATTCAGCGCTGGCCATGGATAGGGCTCTGTGCCAAGCACTCTTCCTACTTTGTCGGGTCCCATCAGCAGCTGGGGGGTGGGGGGTGGGGGTCGCTGTCTCTGCTCTCCCCATTCTACAGGGCAGGAGACTGAGGCCCAGAGAGGAGCAGGGACTGGTGCTTGGCACCGACTCTTGCAGAGTGCTCAGGGTCTCAGGATGACCTGGCCTCCCTGCCCAGCCCAAGGTGGCATCCCCCCTCTGCCCAGCAGATGGCGCCGGCCCCAGGGGGACCCTGGGGGGGTGGGGGGCAGCTGCAGGGGGAGAGGGAGCCCACGGCCGGCACCCCCTTCCGTCGCCCCCTCGGCCCAGAGCAGGCCGGTTTTATAGAGGTGCTGAAATGCCTGGAATGCCACACAGCTCCCGCCTCCCGGACAGCTGTCTGCTCGGCCCGGCCCCGGAGAGCCGAGCCAGCTGCCGCGCCTGCAGCCTCCAAACTGTGAACACCCGACCCCCGGCTCTCGGACGCCCCGGAGGACAGTGGCCCTCGGGCCTTGGCTCTCTGTGCAGGCGCCCGCGGAGGCGCCCCTGCACCTGGCGAGAGGGGTCTGGGCTTTGATGTTTTCCAGCTCGTTCCTTGCCCCCGACCCCTCCCCGGAACTGCCATGCAGGGCCTCTGCTCTGTGCACGTGTGTGTGTCTACAGCTGAGCTTGTGATAGCAATCATGTGCTGTCTTCAGCCTCCGGCTGAGAATGAGCGCCCCGAGCCACCCCGTGCCTCTGAGCGCCTGCCAGGTGAGCCAGGCCGAGCCTCCGCCCCTGCCCCACGGGGTCGCTGGGGACGCAGACGAGTGTGTGGCGCTCTGAGCAGTAAGTAGCCCGTCCGTCTGTCTGTCTGGCCGGCCTCGGGGCTTCGTTTCCCTGGAGCTCCCGTGGTAAAGCTTCCTTCTCAGCCACGTCAGGCTTCTCTTGCCGCCATCCTCGTTCCATATTTGGGTGGAAAGGAGCCCCTTGTGGAATCTGAGAACCAGAGAGGCCTACACACTTCCTGGGTCCCCCTGCTTGCACTTCAAGCCTTGGCCTAACAGAACATACGAGTGCTTCTGACTGAGAAAGAAGGACCAGGAAACAAAGCCCATTTGGGGGTCCAGACTCCCACCTGCTGACCCCCAGTGGTCTGCAGGAGGAAGTTCTTCCTGAATGTCCAGCCCCTGGGCCTGGGGCAGAGAAAGCTGTCGTCTGTCCTGGGCTGGGCAGGGACCTTATGAGGAGGGGCTGGCTGCGGGGGCTGCCCTCTGGGGCCCGGTCTTCTTCTGGGGTCTGGCCGGTCACCGCCAAGCTGGCCAGATGGCCCCTCGGCGGCCCAGTGCCTGCTGGGTGGGAAAATTCAGTGTCAGAAGGCACCCAGCATGCCCCAGGCGCTGGGGGGACAGCAGGGAGGACAGTCGGGACGGTGGGGAAGACGGTCCAGATGGGCCACCCTCGAGGACCCACCTCACACAGCCTCTGGCTGCAGTCCCCATGCTTCTGAGCTCTGCTCAGGGCGCTTTCTTGTACAGGACAGTGCCCGGCTCCCAGCGTGATTGCTCAACCACCAGCACCCCCAACTGGTCACCCCATGACCCCCTGGCGCCCCTCCCCGGCCCTGGATCTCTTCTTTTCCCTGAGCCTGCTTCTTGCCCTTCTGCCCGTGTTCCCCTGCCCCTGCTTGGCCTCTAGGAGAAATGTGCCTGTTTTCCTGTTTCCAAGCTTCTCCCCAGACATCCAGAAGGCTCTGGTGGAAAGACGGTCTCCTAAAACACAGGTGTCTATAGCACCCCTTCCCTAGCCAGGGCTCCAGGTGGCAATGCGTGTGGGTGAGGCCACTCCAGGGGACCAAGGCCCTGGGAGGTGTCAGCAGGCCAGCAGGGAGCTCAGCCTCAGGAGAGTGGAGGACCCCCAGAGGGCAAGGAGGCCCTGGCGTCAGGAGCTGCCACACAAGTCCACCCCTTTGTTTATTGAGCACCTAGTACATCTAGATGCTACACAGAGACGCAGTGTGAGCCAGGAGCAGCCCCTGCTCTGTGGGGTCCCAGCGGCCAGTCAAGAAAGATCATTCTGAAGCCTTAACAAAGTGCTGAGGCGCTGGGGGCTTCCCGGAGGAGGTGGCCCCAGTAGATCATCTGGGGGTGCTGAGCGTGTCCAGATGGGTATGAAAGAAGGGCTGGGGGGAGAGTGGGGAGTGGGGAGCAGGACCTGAGATGGGGGCCTGGAATCATCCCTTGCAGTATCTCTCCAGGGAGCCCAGACAGTTTGAGTCAC